CCAGGGTCGTACCCAGTACTTAGTGAAGTGGAGGGGTTACCCTCACTCACAGAACTCATGGGAGTTTGAGGTTATCCTCCGGCAAGATTGCCCTGACGTCGTTGACGCTTACGACCGGGCACATCATGTGCCGAAGCGCCACCATGGCGTGCGACAGCGTCGCCAGGCGCTGGGCGCCTCCCACTAGAGTGGGGAGCGATGAGGTCAGTAGTTGAGCTCAGGCTCTGACCAGTGGCTGCAGCAGCCAGCTCGTACGTATGAGCGGTGCTCGCAGCGGGAGCAGGAGGTGGAGAGACCTCGTAGTGTTAGGGACATGGTCCCGAAGGAAGCAGGTGCTTCGTGTTGTGCTGAACAAGGTTCAGGCACAAGCGTCTCGATAGACGCATAGTTGTTTTGAAACAACTTGCTCGATGAGCATGATCCAAATGTGGATGCGCTGTAACAGCGAAAGTGGTGTCCCGCACGGGGATCGAACCACTGGCCTTTGGCTTGACAGGCCGGAGCTCTACCATTGAGCTACAAGGGCGATGCCCGTACGTCAGTCCGAGAACGGACTACTCATGGTATGAGAGGGCTGCGCCCGGGTGGATTTGAACCACCGACCTGTGGCTTTCAAAGCCAGCGCTCGACCACTGAGCTGAAAGGGCGTTGCCCTTAAGCTTGTCCATTCAAGAACAACAGTTCATGGAACGAGAGGGCTGTGCCCTGGCGGGTTCGAACCACCGACCTGTGGCTTCCAAAGCCAACGCTCGACCACTGAGCTAAAAGAGGATTGCTCTTAAGCTTGTCCAAGCGTGGACAATCGTTCATGGAACGACAGGGCTGTGCCCTGGTGGGTTCGAACCACCGACCTGTGGCTTCAAAGCCAACGCTCAACCATTGAGCTAAAAGGGTGTTGTCTTAAGCTTGTCCAAGCGTGAACAATCGTTCATGGAACGAGAGGGCTGTGCCCTGGTGGGTTCGAACCACCGACCTATCGCTTGTGAAGCGAGTGTTCAACCGCTGAGCTGTTGTTGACGACTCGAATGAGTCAAGAGCATTGCTCTTAGCGGTTTGCAACTCTTGGAGTAGGCGCGGAGCGCGAGCGTAGGTCTGAGACCGCTTGAGAGCAAGATGCGCTCTGCGCTTGAAACATTGGGCCGTGGGCCGACGACGAGAAGTTGGGCATCGACAATGCGTAGGCGTTTGTGAGCTCACGGAGCTGTACAACGCTGGGGTGAGGTGTAGTAACCTCCGCCGTCTTAACAAGACGTGACCTCGCTGAGGAAAGTTTCGAGAACGGAATGTTCTCATCTTAGTGGGGGAGAGTGTAACGGGGTTACATAGTGTGGAACACGCAGGGGTACGAAGTACCCGGAGAGTTAACAAACTCTCAGTACATAAGTTGGAGAGTTAACAAGGTCTCTCAGTACGCTGGCCGAAAGCCACACGTTATGCATTTGATTAGGTTTAACTATGCTAGATAGTTAAACAGATACATTTACCCCTAGGCGGCTTGGCCGCAATAATAGTAAATAAAACACTTCTGGTTTTGAAGCATAAAAGTTAAGGTATTAACTTTGAGCCCTGGTCTTGGGCTGTAAGTTCCTTTGGATAAGGAACTTAGTATTAGTGACTCTTTGAGTCGAACGTCTTCCTCTGACGCTAAAGCTACGGCAGCCCCGCTGCAACGCAGCTACACAGTGGGCGACCAAGTTCAGCTCATCACCGATTTCGCAATATATGGTCTACTGGTCGGCTACGGCTCTGGACGACCCGTGCGTGGCTCAACTATTGCATCTACACTACACGGTATGCGACGTTTCTTCCTGGCCGCCAACATGGCGTTCCCGAGCGACAAAACACAAATTTGCATGCTTCTGAAGAGCATCAATCGTCTGGATCGGCCAGCTACGCACAAATCCCCCGTATCTCTCCAAGTGCTGGAGAGATGCTTCGATGCTCTCGACTTGTCCAAACCTTCCGATCAAGCCCTATGGGGGGTTTTGAGTTTGTATTTCTTCTTCCTATTACGGCGCTCGGAAATCGCTTCTAACGGGACAAGATTTTCGTGGTTTGCCCTCAACGCCGAGGACATCGTCGTGCTGAATCATCAAGGTGTCGCCACCACGCGAGCACACGATGTCTCAACAGTGCACATTCGCCTTCGAGGTTCCAAGACTAACCAGCGCGGCGTGCCGACACTCCAATACTGAACCGCTCGGGTCATCGCTCTTTATGCCCAGTATTTGGCGCGCTTTGCATCCTCAGGGCGAGACGCGGTCTTTCATCAAAAATCCCAGCCGCGGTGTTTATCAACGGAAACGGATTCCTAGAGTGCGTATCTTCATCAGCAATATCAAGAGCCATCAGACAAGCAGCAACAAGGCTCGGCAACAATCCGAGGATATTTGGTCCTCACTCGCTCAGAGCCGGCGGCGCAGCTCACATGTACCGGGCAGGAGTTGACACACTCTCCATCCAATTCCACGGACGCTGGGCATCCACCACATTTAAGCCGTACACAAGACTATGCAAGGAGTCAGTCCAAGTGCTGTCGGCCAGGATCGTCAGTGGCTCAAGACACATGCACCGACTTCAGTAGAGCTTCCGGATCTCCATAATTGGGGGTCTTCAACTCCACATGAGTTGAAGTTAATCCGTTAGCTCTTACTAAATAAATGTATGATGATGCCCCCACGACTGCGTATGCGAGGAAATTAAATTTCTTGATTAGCAAGAATAGTAGTTTCCTCGGAAAAAGGAGTCAGCAGCAGAAGCCCGAACCTCGCTAGTGCTCCTGGTTCAGCAGGTGTCCCGGCTCGGTAGAGTCCACTCATTGTAGTGCCAAAGAGCCATGGACGAGTTCGACATATACAGCAGCCTCAGCTCTCAAGTTTCCTCTAGCAGCTCAAGCACCCACCACGCCACTCCCGGGGTCTTCAACTCCACATGAGCTGAAGTTAATCCGTTAGCTCTTACTGAATAAATGTATGATGATGTCCCCACGACTGCGTATGCGAGGCAATGTTGTTGTACTTTTTGTGAATCTTGTGATTTGTCACGGCTTGGACTTGCGTCCCTGCGAGTCACAACTTGTGAAACTAGTACTGTAGTGTAAAATCGTAGATTCTTGCTACGCCTCATATCGCGAACCATATCCTGTTCCTCTCGGAAGTATACAAACTGTATACGACTGTCGTAACGAGGCTCCGAGACTAACCACAAAGGCGTGCTTGTCCGTGTATGGCTTACAATAATTGCCAAGTATAGCTGAACCCGTTCTGAAAAAAAAAGAATCAAAATGCACCACGGTCTTCTTGAATACCCTTGACTTCCAGGCTGCAGGCGAGGAAGTCAAGGTTTTATGAAAGCTTGCAAAGGTTGCAATGATTGCAGTTTTCAATTGCCTCCGGTCATCATTCTATTTGCGGGTTATATATACTAAATCTAATCAAAGGCTCCATTAAATCCATCTGTGCGACCTTAAATTTTTTATTAACAGACTACTTGTACTATTGACACCACATGGATATATATTAAAAATTACACGCTGTGCTAGAGACTGCTCGTGCCATCGTAGACGACGAGTTCGAATATGAAGAGTGGTGGTCTTTAGCTATTACTAGAAAGCTCTAGAACCCTCTCACCCGGTGAAAAAAGACCCGACGTATGCGGACACCACTTTATACCGCCAGCTAGCAAAGCTGAGCCTAGCGCAGGTGTAAATGTGGCTACGCGAACACGTAATAAATTATAGTATAGTATAGTAAACTGTAGTAGTGCACATCCAAAAATGGGTTGAGTTTGGTATGAGAAGTGATCAATCTTTACTTACCCACTAGATCAAACAGGCAGTGCAAGCGGATAATTAGTGCAAGCTGAACAGGTCATTACTATCTTTTGCGCTGATGTGGGCTAAGCTTCATAGCGGCTCACAAACGGCCCGTGATATCGAGCACGACGCTAAACTTAACGTATTGTGTAGCGTTTGTACAAATGTTGTTTAAAGTGCAGGGTGTTTTGGGGTAAAGATGAAGATACAGTGATAGCTACATATAACAATAATAAAGAGATTACATTAATAGTATTAGAATATATATATTTAATCAGGTAAGCATGATGCTGGGGCCTCGGTATTTTGTACCAGTATAAATAACTGCACGGCCTACTAGAGACTGCTTAACAGTGGTCGACAGCATCGAGGACGCTTTTTTTACCCTGGCATTAAAATATACCAATCGAAAGCTCTAACTCTACAGAATCTATTTGTATACGTTTCAGTGCGATCTAGTTTAGCTGTGACTGCTCTTTATTTTATTCAAGTCTAAATCATAAAACCCTTATATTCGAATATAAATGTGTCATAAAATATTAGCTATCATAAACCTATCACGATAAAATAGAAACATATTATTGGCTAAAACGGGGAAAAGTCTAGGAGGCAAGCTACAAAATCATTTTGTACGCTCATTATGTTATTTCCCAGCCGTTTTTAGGATCAGCACTGAAAACCGCATCAAAAAAGTGGCGCCGCCGCGGCGGTAGTTCGGATAATTATTCCAAAACAACTGAGCCTATGTTCCTAAATCGACTATTTTATTTCATAAATCTGGGTATAATTTAGATTATCCGGCACGAAATGACTGTAAGCATCGAGGACGCTTTTTTGTGTAGCTGGAGCAATTAGTGCGGCTAGTTAATAATAATGTAGACGTGTTTGTCAGTGTAATACACTGTGTTTGGGCTGCAGCAAAATCACTTGTAAGAAATGTATGCTGGGTAGACGAGAGATCGACGCGCAACGTTCTCCGGCCCCGCCACGTTACAGCACGCATATTTCTGCCGTCTTGGCAGAATCGCTTCTGAAGACGGAGCTCACTAAGTTTATTTCTCAGATCCGAGCCAAAAGAGAAAAGAATACTGGGAGAGCCTCATAATTTAGCGCTAAGCTCAGAAATTCTCAACTTTCGTTTAGAAGAAGACCTCATGTGTTTGTCCAACATCAAGTATACAAAGAGTGAGTTGTAACAATGTGTTTTTGTGTGATGTTTCAGCTTGTCACTCTTACCCGAGTGGGGCCTAAACCTGTTCAGCGAACGGTAATGTCAGGCTGACTAGCTTCACCAGCTCTTCAGCCTTCTTACGACGGTTGTGTGTTTGTTTGGACACGCACGTCCACTTCTCGCCGTGGTGAGGGTCCGCCGTTACTGCACGCTTCAAGACCTTCTCCGCGGCATCCTTAGAGCCGTGCTTTAACTCGAACAGGTAGTAATGCGCCCACGCATCTCCGAGATCCGAGTCCAGCTGAATAGTGCGTTCCATCCACTTACGCGCTTTCGAGTATTTGCGTTCTTGCCAGAATAATTTCGCCACAGACAGACACACCGACGGGTCATTGTCTTTCTTCTTGAGCGCCGTGAACGATGCACGTTTCTGCTGTGCTCGAGGAGCGATATCGATGGATTCAGCCAATAGAATACCCGACTCTGGACACTCTTGTAAGGCCTTAGCCATCAACATCTCCTGACCCTTTGAATTATCCCATCGAGCCTCCAGACGAGCAGCTTCCAGCCACAACATGTCGTTCTTCGGGTTTTTCAGACGCGCCATCTCCAGCACCGAGCGTGCCTTCGTCACGCCGTTCATCTTCTCCTCTAACCGACTAGAAAGTGTCCACAACGCAATCGACTTTGGACAGTGCTGAACTCCCTCACGATACATCTTCTTCGCCTTCTCGAAGTTGGGCGGATCCAGCGCTTCATAGAATTGACCAGCCATCATATAAAGCTTCGGGAAGTCCGGGTACAGCTTGATGCCTTCCTGTACGAGATCTTCCTCGTCTTTGCGGTTCTCGGCGCACTCCCTTTCCAGCAGCACTGACTTCATCCATACGTGAGGCGACGGAGCTTGAGCACGTGCCTTTGCCAGCAATGCTCGAGCTAAGTCAATCTCGTCATTCTCCCACTCTAACTTGACGGCTGCCAGCCAAATCGCCTCACTATTCGGATTCGCACTGAATGCTTGGCGTAGAATCAAGCGAGCGTTCTCCACCGAGCCGTTCGTCCAGACTTCTTTGGCAGCCATAAGCCACAAGATCTCTGCGTGAGGACAACACGTGACGGCCTTCTGTAGCAGTTGTTCAACAGGTTCGGGACTCTTGCCCTCCTGGACCCTCTTCTCCAAGGCGACAGCACGAAGCCAGATTGACTTCTTGCCAGGAAACACCTTCAACGCTGCGGCGTAGATAGCCTTCGCAGTCAGCAGAGCACCGCGGTTGATGCTGTTCTCAGCGTCGTCCATCCACGTGCGCTTTCTGTCTTCAGGATCCACACCCACATCCAAGCTAGCACGAACAATGGCTGCACACGTCAATGGTGCATCAGCTAGTTCGCAGGCTTCTGCTTCCTTGAGCCACATTTCTCGGTTCATAACCACTTGGTGTTTCTGCAGCGACTTGAGTGCTAGCTGAATGATACGGTCAATCATATCCAAGTTCTTTCCTTGCGCTTCTTCCAGCTTGGCCGCTGTGATCCAGATAGACGGTTCAGTAGGGATCGCCGCTCGTGCCTTGTTCAATGTCTTCTTGGCGTTTTCGTACGTCTCCAACCGAGCCAACGCCAGCCACAGATCCACAGCTTGAGGAACGCACTCGACAGCACGACCGAGCAGGATACGCGCGCCGTCGACGTCTTCCAGTTCGATCAGCGCCTTCCACAGCTTTACGGAGTTGGGAATAAATTCAAGAGCACGACGCATCACGAGTTTCTTCAGCTCATCGTCGCTCTCAAGCTGCGCAGCTTGAAGCCACACTTTAACTGACTTGGGGACATGTCGAACTGCCTTAGCCAGAATCGTCTTGGCGTTCTCCGGGTTCTGCAGCCGTGCAGCTTCAAGCCACACATCCTCCTGTGTGGGACAAGACTCACAGCCTTGGGCGATGATCTTCCTGGCCTGCACAATCTTTCCTGCCACTTCCTCCAGTCGCGCGGCAGCGATCCATCCTGGTCCATGCTTCGGGTTCGTCATAGTCACGGATCTAAGCAGTAGTCTAGCCTTCTTAATGTCTCCAATCTCAGCGTCACTGGTGAGTTTCACGCTGTTTAAGTCCGTCAAATATCCCTTGGGGTCCACCACAGTCTGGCCTGAGATCGAGTCCGACATCTTGTCCAGCTTATGGGACAATTGCGCGCCTCGAGCTCCAGCCAAACCTGTCACAGAACTCGTCATGCCGCTGGGTGTCTCCATCCCGTTACCTGCCGGTGTGATAGTCCCGCTTACTGACGTGGAAAGGCCTGCGGTGGCTCCTAAGACACTGTCAGGAACGGGTGCGAACATCTCGTTGCGCTTCTGCAACGCCGTGTTGGTCTTGAACTTGAGAGAGTAGTCTCCAATGTCCGGGATCATTTCCCATTCAGCATCTGACATTTGCTGCAATGAGCTCTTGAGGTCCGCAAACTGGTCGCTGATCTTGGGCATCTCCTTACGCGCTTTCTTCAGTTCCTCGAGTTGCCTGATCTCCCTACGTCTCTTACGTCGCGAGTCCATTCGCTCATCCACCTGCTCGTAAATATCGTCTGCTTCCTTGTCATCATCGTCGTATGGTGTGTCCTGGAACAATCCGCGTGACGAATAGCCACTGAATTCGTCGTAGTTCGTCTCGCTGTAGTCGCCAAAGTCCTCGTTCTCATCTTTTTCGCGGCCAAATCCACCCATACCAGCCGTACCGGAGCCACGACCAGCACTTGGTCCTGGACCGGGCCTTCCTGGTACTTCTACGCCGCGTCCGCGTCCGGCGGGAGGCAGAAACGGCGCGTCTTGAGTACCGTCCTGCGCCATTGGCGCGCGTGCTGGCCCGATGTCCGAGCGCGTGGTGAAGCCCACAGCACCTCGACCCAGACCAGGCACATAGTTGGCCGGCGCGCCGGACGCGTACGTGTTGCGCACACGCTGCCCCAGACCGCTCATCGTTTAATAAGTGCTGATGTCCAAGTATGATTTCGATGTCCAATTTATCCGGATAAGCGATGTGGTCCACATATTTTGGGCTCTCTGAGTACCGGTATTCTACCAGAATACCGGAAAGTTGAAGCGAATTTCACGTCGGGTTCAACTGCAAAACCTGATGAGAACCACGTCGGATTTTGTCACAAGATTCTTGTGTCCTTTCACACTCGAATATTCCTGCCATGGTGATGAAATCTTTGCTCCGCCCAAGCCAACGCTTGCTACTGCAACATGGTGCACGCTCGCTTCAGACCGCGGCTGAGGCTGCCGCCAACGTGTCGTACACACGCGGGCTGTTTTTGGGCGTGAACAACGCGACGCGCGCCTTCCCGTACCCAAAGCTGTCGGACAGCGAGACAGAGACGCTGCAGATGCTCGTGGATCCTGTAAATAAATTCTTCGGGACTGTGGACTCTCGTGCCATTGATGAGACGAAAGAGATTCCGCAGCAGGTGCTCAACGACATGAAGGAGCTTGGACTCTTTGGTCTGCAGATTCCCGAGGATCTCGAGGGTCTTGGCTTGTCGAACACAGGCTACGCACGCGTGTGTGAGGAGATCACAGATGGCAGTTTGGCGGTGACAGTCATGGCGCATCAGTCTATCGGTCTCAAGGGCATCCTGCTTAACGGCAACGAAGCACAGAAGGCCAAGTACCTGCCCAAGCTAGCGACAGGCGAGCACGTCGCGGCTTTTGCGCTCACAGAACCTTCAAGCGGCTCTGATGCCGGGTCGATTAAGACTCGTGCTACAATATCAGAAGATGGTAAGCACTATGTCCTCAACGGAGGCAAGATCTGGATCAGCAACGGCGGGTGGGCAGAGATCATGACTGTTTTTGCGCAGACGGAAGTGGATGGCAAGGATAAAGTCACGGCTTTTATTGTTGAGCGAGCCTTTGGAGGCGTCACCAGTGGCCCGCCAGAGGATAAGCTTGGTATTCGTGGTTCCAACACGTGTCAAGTGTTTTTCGACAACTGCAAAGTGCCTATTGAGAATGTACTGGGCGGCGGTCCAGACATGAAGACGGGAGGCGCTGCAGGTGTCGGCCAGGGCTTCAAAGTGGCCATGAACATCTTAAACAACGGTCGCTTCGGTCTTGGTGCTTGTGCTGGAGCGTCGCTTCGTCGTGTGCTTGGTGCAGCAGCAGAACACGCTAACTCACGCAAGCAGTTTGGTGCGCCTTTGGCGAACTTTGGGCTCATCCAGAAGAAGTTCGGTGTTATGGCATTGGACGCGTACGCCATCGAGTCTATGGCTTTTATGACAACTGGTATGATTGACCGAGGTGATCCGTCCTGTGAGATTGAGGCGGCCATGTGCAAGGTGTACGGGTCGGAAGTGGCGTTCACGGGCATCAACGAGTGCATCCAGGTCATGGGTGGCACTGGGTTCATGAAGGAGTGGCCGTTCGAGCGTCTTATGCGCGACTGCCGTATCTTGTCAATCTTCGAAGGAACAAACGAGATTTTGCGCATGCTCATTGCTCTCAGCGGCATTCGGGTGCGTCCGCAGTCTGCTCTATTGCTTTGTAGCTCGAAGTTATTGACTTATGTTGTGCTATGTTGCCAGACTGCTGGGGAACGTCTGTCGAGTGTGGGCAAGTTGCTGCAGAACCCTTTGTCCGACCCATCGAGCGCCGCCAAGGAGATCTCGGATCGTTTGCAACGCAAGTTTTCGCCTACCCCACTGGAAGGAGTGCATTCGAGTCTGAAAGAACCAGCCGAGTTGCTGCAGAAACGAACGGCTGATTTTGGTGACGCTGTGGAGTTTCTTCTTCGTAAACACGGCAAGAAGATTGTGGACGAGCAGATGCAACTGGAGCGGATTGCCGATTCGGCCATCGCGCTGTTCGCCATGACAGCCACAATCTCTCGCGCCACGACGTCACTGAATGCGGGCATTGAGTCGGCCGAGCACGAGAAGAAGCTCACGACGCTGTACTGCGACCGGACGTCCAGCAAGATCCAATCGCTACTGGGCGACATCAAAACTGCCGTCAAGCACGACGAGCAACTGCGCGAGATCGCTAACGAGGTGCTCAAGGCTGAGAAGTATATTCCCAGCCACGCCACAGGCATCGATTGCTAAGGCAACAAAGCTGCAAGTGGCAACTGTACTGAACAATTGCATGATACATGTATAAAATTCACGCCAAATTGAAGCAAAAATTGATGTGGCACCCATGCTGAAGTTTGTTGCTCACTTGATTTCACTATTCCTTCAGAGTGATAGTCACCATTAGGGGAAACGTTGCCGTTATTTTCTGCACTCACCAATCTGCCAGCAATACCGCGACTCAATGGGGGCAACGTTGTCCACCGGCGGGGCGATGACGGTCACGCAGCGCCAGGACTCGCGGTTGCGACTACGTGAGCGTGCAAACTCGCTGCTACATCTCTGGGTGCGCTTCTGGATCTTCGCCACGGGGTTGGAGAAGCACGAGGAGCTCGCATGGCGTATCGTGCAGCAACTTAAGCACCACGTTTACCGAACCGCCAACGAGAAGCACGCGTTCTTCCACAATTTGACCATGACACTTGTGGAGCTTTGGCTGAGAACACTGCGGGCTGTGTTGGTACCCGATGTCTTTGCTCGCTATCTGTGTGCAACTTTCATGCTGCACATAATCTACGAACTGCAGTCTATTGCTCGCCAAGTGCTGGGCAAAACGTGCCTCCGCCTTACAGCCAACGGACGACGCACATTGAGACTCCGACAACAGTTGGCGAACGTCAAGACCTTCCAGGAGCGACAGTCAATCGCTGGAGAATTGGACAAACTCGAAGGCAAAGACAAGTGGCGTGAAGACCCAGCGTCCGGTCTCTTCCTGTACGAGCGAGTGATGAACAAGACGCAGATGTATAAGAGACTCAAGCTCGAAAACGACGTCATGGGGATCATGTTCTCGCTAAGAGCGGGGCTACTGAGGAAGCACTGGGGACTCGGAAACCCGAGACTTTACTCCGCCAGCAATGGTACGAGTCTATTATTTATTTCAACGGGATTTCCACTAATATTTTGTGGTTTTACTTGCAGTGGGAACGAAGCACGTGATCGAGGAGTATCTGGACACAATTGTACAGTCAATGAACGTCGTGCTGCGTGCAAAAGGAACAGACGAAGAGGACAACGACGAGCTTTCTATTGATAACAAGCTGGCGTTCTTCAGTGAAACTCGCCACGCCTTTGGACGCTCTGCCTTGATGCTGTCAGGTGGCGGAGCTCATGGATTCTACCACGCGGGCGTGATCAAGGCTCTGGTGGAGAACAATCTACTGCCTAACGTCGTTGCCGGCTCCTCGGCTGGATCAATCTTGGCAGGAGCGATCGCTGTTCGCCATGACGACGAGGTGCTGGAGTTTTTGTCGGGAGAAAACGTCAACCTGAACTTCCTCGGACCGAACATTACGGAGCAGGATCGAGTAACTTACACGCCGTCGTTCTTGTCTCCAGCACATCTGCTGCTTCCAAAAGGTGGCTTCGAGTTCGTGCGAGACGCGTTTATCCTGCTTAACCGGTTTCTAGACAAGCGTTATGTACTGGACACCAAGACTCTCCGTGACTGCTTACGTAGTGTCATGGGGGACTACACCTTTCGAGAAGCTTACGACAGAACAGGTCGAATCATCAACGTCACGGTCACACCAATGAGTACTGATGATTATCCTCAGTTGCTCAACTATCTCACAGCTCCGAACGTGATCATCTGGTCGGCATCTCTGGCATCTTGTGCGATCCCAAACGTGTTCCGTCCTGTGGAGCTGCTGGCCAAAGATGAGAATGGAAACATCGTTCCTTACTATCGCGAAGGACTGAAATGGAGTGACGGTAGTGTGGAGTGTGACCTCCCCATGGCACGACTTTCAGAGCTATTCAACGTAAACCACTTCATCGTGAGTCAAGTCAACATCCACTACAAGATCGTCTCGGGCCACTCCGCGTTCGGCAATGGACAAACGGGTAGTCTCATGAGCTTCTTCAAAAAGCAAATGAAAGCCTACATTAAAAACATCGCCGAGTTCGGATTAAACACTTCAGTGCTCAAGTTCCTCGACATCGGGATCGTTCCTCTCATCACACAGAAGTACGAAGGTGACATTACCATCTGTCCCACCGATAAAGTCCCTGCTGCGACGTTGCTGCGAACAGTGCTCACCAATCCTACACAAGAAACGTATCCTGATCTTCTACTGGCCGGTGAACGAGCTTGTTGGCCAGCAATCGCTCGGATTCGCACCATGTGTCGCGTTGAGTTCGCGTTAGAACGTGCAGTACGGTACTTGCGTGGTGAACAAGCTCTGGAGGACGAACGACGGAGTGGACGCAAGGCAATTGGTCGTGTACCGTCGTTCTACACTTCTCCCAGCTCCATGAACCTGTCCAACCTGGATCAATCTCCTCCCACCCCACGAGACTATGTGTCACCGCCAGCCAGCAAGGGAAAACGCACTCGACACGGCAGTCTCGAGGAAATGGGCAGCCCCGTAGCCAACCCCATGCGCCGGAACAGATCCATGAACATCGCTGGCGCTGTCATCTCGATAGATGGAGGTGCCAATGCCTCCGACTTCAGCCACTTTGATCTGTAAACTTGTCATTTTATTTTATTGATTTCAACTTCCTTTCTTTTTCATTTACTAGGGTCTCCAACTACTGGTAAGTGCATCGAAAAAACTTGGCACTGGTTCTGGGGCACAGAAAATCTGGCGTACGTAAAAATCTGGTAAGGTCGATATTTTCTCGTGAAGATCACCAAGTTGCTCTTGCAACATGCGACGTTCTTCCTGCAGTTTGCTGATCTTGTCTTCATCCGTTAAGCGAACCACATCCGACACGCAGTCACGAAGCACTTCTTCGACTTCCCGGTTGCCTTCTAGGCGTCCTAACTGCGTCTGGAAACGATGTAGACGAGTCTCCAAGCGTGTTTGTTCACGCTGTGCAGCTTGTTTCAGACCGAGTTGCTGCGTAGAACTTTGCTTCAGATTCCGCTCCAGTTCATCGCAATCGCCTCGAAGGTTTTCATACTCGCTCGCTAGTTGAGCTCGTGTCTCCAGCTCAGTTTCATACAACTGCTGTAGCTGTTGTCGCTCTTTATCCAGCAGCTCCATGTCTCGCTTCTGTTGCTGAGCATCAAGCTCCGCTTTTTTAAGCTGCTTCTGCAGCATCGTCCTCTCTGCTGCTTGATCCGCAGCACGTCGTATCCAGTCTTCTTTCTCTCCTTGATGTGTTGTACGCAGCGCTTCCACTTGTTTCATCAGCTCGTGCTTGGTACTTTGTGCCTCGGCTTCGGCTTTAGCCAAGGTCTCCTTCTCGTGCTGTAGTCGCACTTGCGTCTTCTCCAGCTCCTTTGTCAGCTCTGCTGCTAGTTCATGAAGCTGCTCGACCTTCTGGTTCGAGCCCAGACGCTCCTTCTCCAAGTCTGCAATCGCAGTGACGTGCTGTTGTGACGCGTGCTGTAGTTCAGCCAAACGCTCGACCTGAGTTGCAATTTTATCTTCCAAGTGCGTCTTCGCGTCGAGAAGCTGCTGCACTTCCATCGTTCTCTCTTGTACGTGCTGTTTCCACTCCATTTTCTCGTTCACATGCTGCTGTGCAAGCTGTTCTCGTGTGTGATTCCACTCAGCCTTCTCTTGTGCATGACTAGTAGCCATGCGCTGGAATAACGTTTCAAAGAACTCAAGCGAGTCGACACGAAGGAACTGGTAGAACGCCTTCTTCTTCGCTGGACCGCGAGCTTTTCGCTCGTACACTTCTTCCAGAACTTCCATCGTGGCTTGAAAAGCCTCCTCTTTATTGGCAGCAGCATCCCACGCACCCGCAGCCAGAGGCCGAGTCAAAAACTTGGCTCGAAGCTTCGCTAGTACCTTGACGCAGAACTTACTGGACCGCTTCTGTAGCTGTGTGATTAAAGCTGTACGTTGAGTATGCATGTGCTGCTTAAGCTTTTGGAAGCATGTAGCTCTCGAGGCTCCTTCCACCGAGCGCACCTTGAACAGCGTTAGTGCTTTCTCTTGAGCGTCCTTGTAAATGGCTTCAAATTCCGCCTGTGACAGAATCTTCGGACCGCTGTCCGCGTCATCACTTCCACCTTCGTCTGTATCTTCCTCCACTTCATCCGTCTCGTCCGAATCTCCTTCTTCCTTGGCCTTTTTCACTGACTTCTTACCACTTGTAGCTTCCATCAGAGTATCATATAACTCGATAGCAGCAGCAAGGGCAGCTTGACAGGTCGCATCGGATACGTACTCCCAGGCAGCCTTAATATCCGGCACTGCGCCACTGTTCATCGTGTCGGTGTAGCATTTTACAAGCTGAGCGACTTGCGGTCCATTCAGCGTCTTGCCTAGTAGTTCCTTTGCAGCCACCGACGACAACAGACGACGTCGTATAGCTGACATTTGTTCCACAAACTCGGGTCGCAGCTCAACATCCGAAAGTTCTGCTGCACGTCGTAGATCGCGCTCGTCAGTCACGGGACGGACAAGTGTAAGGCACTCGCGACGACCGAACAAGACTCGAATAGAGGCACGCGTGCGGTTCCGCTCAATCTGGCGCAGTTTTGTGCTCTCCGACGCCGTCAAACTAACGTCTCGTGCATCCAGCGCCTTCTCCAGATACTGGTTAGCAGTCAGGTCGTTGCCGTCGATCTGCATGTCAAGCAGAAAGTCACGCAGCAGCCACACAAACGGCGGGAAATGTGGCGCCAATGCTCGCGATTCCTCGAGCTTGTCACCACTCAGTGTCGCCTCTTCCGGACTCGTAGTGTGCCCACCAAACCCGTTATTAGACGCCGGTGTTGTGCCAGGATGTGTACTAACACAGACGTGTTTGGTCAGCTCTGACACAAGGTAGAGGCGGTCAACGGCGCCTTCGTCGATCACGCCCATGGTGTTGAACACGAAAAGTGAGCTTAGCAGCAGTCCGAGCGAGAAAATCTTGGCGTCATAGCTCTCATCATTATCTGTGGATGCCATACCCTCCGTGTCCAAGAACAAAACCAATTGGCCCGTGGGATTGCGCACCGGAGGCTGCGGGGCCCAGAGCCAGATGCCTCTCGTGCACGACTCGGTTGTCGGTCCCACTCGGAAGCCATCGATCTTGAAATTGACACTGCCATTGGATACGTTGCTATTGGCAAGTGAAGAAGATTCTTCGCTGGTGTTGATCCACGGGAAATCGTTGGGACGAGACGCGAGTTGATTGAGGAAGAAACTCTTGCCCGTCCTGGCAACAATGAATGGCGAGTCAGCGACGATAGGTAAGGCCACAACTTGAGCTTTACAACTCACCGATACTGTCCTGCCAAGCAGACAATTGCCACAGGCTCGTTGAGGCTCTCCAGCAGACTGCAATCAAGGCAGTAGACGGATATTGCGCACACATTGCGTTAGTAAAGCATCAAGGCGAAAAAAAACTGCAGATTAACTTGCATATGCATCAATAGTATAGTATATATGTTGATGAGCGCACCTGATGCCAGCATCCGTCACACGCAGCCCATCCGCGCCGCCCTCGATGAGGCACACGGGCGTCATGGCCGTTGCGTTTGAAATGAGTCAGTCTGTTGCAACGGGATGTGCAGGTTGATGTGTCGTCACACCACTTTCTTCAATTCAATGAATTGCGATCTTGAAGCGACGCGAAAGAGATAAAGTTGAAGATCATTACACCATTCACATGGAGCTGGACCAGCTCGACGTCGTGAGTCGCTGCATTGGGCAGACGCTGACGCCACAGGAGCGGTCGAACTTGGAGCTGGGCATGCTTAAGCGTAGCGCCACCGAGACGTTCCAGTCGCTGCGCTTCTGGGGACGCATTTCGGGCGAGACGCAGGACTACCTCATCTGTGTCGCCGTCATGTCCGGTAAAGACTACCCCAAGAAGAAATTTTACTTTTGGTACGCCACCGACTATACTGACTGATGCAGTTTAATGTGCTGAATCTACTGTTATGTGTCCGCAGTACCAACTCGTCACCGGAGCTCCAGCAGTTCCCACAGTTGAACAAGAAAAAGAGCACAATGGCAGCGGCTCTGACGTCGCGGTTGAAAGGAGATCCAGCGTTCTTGCTTAGTGACTCTGGAGATCCACAGAGCCAGGAAGAGGGCGACGCTCCATTCTGCGAGCTGGACCGACTCGCGTACATTGTGGAGGAGATCGACCACGCCACATCGGTAGTGCCGTTGGGAGCCTACGTCGTCTCTCCGATGCACCAGGTCATAGCCAACCCATCCTTCCATGGGCTAACATGGGATCAGTCTCTACAGCTCTACAATTTCTTCCACTTCCGCCATCCAGACCTACCTGAACGTGCTCAGATCATCGAGAATGCGGAAGGATTGGTGCGTGCTGGAGACTTCCTCGACCCGCTCATCCAAGACCTGGACGGCGTGTGGGTCATCTCCAAGGACAACACTGGCGCATACACGACACTACGCAACTACGTGTACCCGGGAGCATTCTGCTTCCATCGACCCGAAACAGCGCACCATGGCAGTGTCTACTTCGGAGACGGCCGAAAGAACCCAGACATCGCGTTCATGATCTAAGGCGGGACACTTTAAACCACTTGAGCCATTTCATTATCAGGTTGTCCTAGTCCTTTCTTGATGCCTCTGACTAGACTCGTTTTAATACGATAATTGCACGTAACAAAACGCAGTCTTCACTCTCCAGGTAGAGCACAAAGCCGCTACGTGTGCAGGCGGTTGAGGAAGTAGCTGAGATCGCGCACATTCGACGACGACTTGACCTTGCAGGTGCGGTAGATGGAATTCAGCGAGTCGTCGATCAACTGCTGCTCCAAGAGCTTTTGACACGCACTAAATGCTGCCGATGCTCGGGCACTGGCCTTCGAAGGCATGGGATCGCTACGGAACGTCTCCAGCTCCAGCTCCATCGGCAGATTTAGCTCAGCTGTGAACATGCTCTTGCCACCATAACGAGCCTCCGTAATAGTGTACAGCCGCTTCGCATCCACCGTGAACAACCGCGTGGGTAGCGACTGACAGAACTGGTTAATACAGGTGATACTACTGTCCAAATCCAGCACAGCACCCGTGGATTCGATCTCGATCTTGTGGACACCAGCCCCCATCATCTCGGCTGCAATCGAGCGCGGTTGTTGCTGGATCGTCTCAACTTTCTCTCGCGAGAACTCGAGCTGGTCAATCACCTCCACTTCACGAGTCAACTGTTTGTAGTACACCTCGTGACCCAAGTCTCCTTCTTCAGCCAAGTAGTACACGACGCCATCCTCGTGACGTGCTCGTCCCTTTAACTGCATCAATTTGCGCGCAGTCCCGACGCGATCCATCACAATAATTAGTCCGCATTGGGGAAAGTCAACTCCTTCCACCGACACGGCCGTGGACACCAACACACGAATTGATCCAGACTCAAACTTCTTCAGTGTGGTCTCCATCTTGTCCAGTTGAAAGGCTGCCGTGTCGCTACGTGATGCTCTTCCCAGGATGCTCGCAAACGGTTCGTCCACAGGGTCTTCTTCCATATTTTTGCCGTTTGTTTCCTCCTCATCAGGTTCCTCGGCGTCTTTGGTCGATACTGCAAACTTTTCGTTGAAAAAGTCCGACAACACACGACACTCCGTTCGTGTGTCCACGAAGACGATTCCTTGCAGACCCAGACGACTTCCATTGCTGTCTCGGTTCTGTTCTCCTTCGCCTTCTGCACGAGTGGATGCACTGACAACCTGCTCTTCCGTAGCTTCACTGTCGCTGTCTGACACGTCCGAATTGTCCAATTCAGCTCCAGCGACTTCTTCGACCTTGCCATCCTCATCGAACAGCTGTGCACGTAAGATCTCCTCCACCTTCTCTACTTTGGCAGTACACGCAAACTCGCAGCTAGTTCGCTTCCCAGCCAGCAGTAGCATGGTCTTGACGGCGTCTCTATCCAGTCCAAACATACTGCCGGGTACCGTAATCAACAACGATGCTGCAATGGCGAGACGATGGATCTCCAGCTCCACGAAGCGATAGTAGCACCATGGGCCCAGGTTCTTGTACACCGTGATACTGTTTTGCATGAACTTCTTCGTGGCCTTTTCCAGCTTGGACGGGTCTGTGGCTGCATGACTCTTCCCCTTCTTGACGAGTTTCTCGAACACCGCCAAGGCCTTGACTTCCGCCAACTCCTTCTCGATATTCTCGTAGATCCACGCTCCATTTGTTGGGTCTTCTTGCGCTTCCTCCCCCTTCACAGCCCACGGTTTCTGGACCGAGTACGTCTCGTAGATCATCGGCGCTGCTGCTGCGAACTCGGCGATCTGGCTCTTGTCCAGCTCCACTTTCTTCATCTCAGCGTGGAGCTTCTCAGCGCAGTGGCGTGTGGGGCAAGCGGTGGTGCCAAAGATGCGGGGCATGCAGGCTGAATTCTCCTGGTTGAACATCTTAATAACCTGCGCGTACGGGTGGCGCTTAGTCACGTGGTGACATTCGTCGAATACCAGCAAATTCATGCGACTAAGCGACACGTAGCCCTTGAGCAGCACGTTGCGCACGATCTCGGGCGTGCACACGAAGACGCGCGTGAGCTGCAGCTCACGTTCCCATTGTGTAGCGTCCCATAGGTCAGCGGTCCGTCCGCAGTACGAATTGACGCGCAGAGTGCTGGTCTGGCGGATCTTTGCCGTGATTTGCACCACCAATTGGCGCGTGGGGGCCATGAAGAAGGCGCGCTTGTCTCCCGAATAGTCCTGCTCGGATAGCAGCGCGATGGCCAGGAACGTCTTGCCGATACCCGTGTCACCCACCATCACCACGTTCTTCTCGCGCGCAAGCTCCAGCACCTCGCGCTGGAACGCGCGTAGCTCCACCTCCTCCATCGTCTTCACCCTTGGTGGACGATCCGAAAGCTGATTAAATGTAGGAAGTGTCTAGGCTCACCAATATTTTTTGACATAAAACAAACATTTGGAGTACCGGTCAATACCGGTATCCAAAATTTCTAACTTTGTTTTTCAAAATTTGCGAGTCTCTATCGCCGTTCATTAGACCGTCTTTCGCTCCCGCCTCCCGCTCCCCCCAGCTCTTCCCAGTTCTTCCCCGGTACTTCCTATCGGCGCCGCTCGTCGTAGCGTCATGTCAGCAAGCCGAATATCGCGCCCCACCAGTGGAAAGGCTAATCTCCAAGATGGAGGCACTTCCGAGAGCTTCAGGCGATGAAAGCCGAGATAATACGGGGCATACAACGCGGAAAACAATTCAACTTACTTTCCCTCCATTCAGCGGTGTATTTGCATCGTGGCCTGACCTTGAGGCGGCTTTTGAACGGTACAATGACATTTGGCGGGTGCGTTTGATGTGATGTATCTAATAAATGTGTTGACGCGTAGGTACCAGAAGGACACTCATCAGATTTACAAGTTGCGAACAAGTAACTCTGTACGTGATCGGAATCGTGAGCGAAGTAAACGTTGTGCTTTGACAGGTACACAGCCTGTCCTGTACGACGAGAAATTGGTGTTCTACTCGAAGACCTTTATCTGCACTCACGGTTGGCAGTTTAACCCCCGTGGAAAAGGCATAAGAACAAACCACACTGTTCGAGGGATTGGTTGTAAGGCGAGACTGAACGCGCTCCTGAAACAAGACGAAGGCGGAGTGTACACGGTATGTGTTTCAAAGCACACGTCGGTCCACAACCATAGCGTTGGTCCTGAAGAGTATTTCACGTACGCTGAGACTCGCAAGGTGGACTCGCCTGACACCAAGATTGTTGTTAAAACAATGTGACAAGGTAAGATCAACAGTGGTACAATAAATAGCTGGTCATTTGCTAACATGATGTCTTCTAGGTGGGTCCAACCGCAAAAAGATTCTGCGATATTTAAAAGAAGCATCCGGAAAACCGATCCAGCCAAAGGACGTCGAAAACATGATTGCTCAGATGCGACGCGAAATATACATTTCGCCGGATGACAATGTCCGCGTTTCACATTTGTTGCAAGATTTCAGTGAAGGTCCAGGAACGTTTGTCAATATCTATCGCGATCCAGGTTCCGAATTGACGAGCTGTATAACCTTCCAGACAGCACATATGAAAAGGATGGCTCGCAAATTCCCAGAAGCACTTTGTATAGATGCCACACACGGCACAAACATTAACAGGTACGATGTGAGCACCAGTTTATAAATTGGTGACATAATTACCAACACGTTAGGTGATGTCACCAATTAGGTAGGAATTGGTTTCATATTCATCAATTACTAACAATGAATTTGATGTAGGTATCGGTTGTTTAGTTTCATGGTGACAGATAAATTTGGCAGCGGGGCGTTTGTTCAGCATGCCTTGATTGACGGAGAGACAAAGCCTAACATGAAGAGTGCGTTCAAGGCATTTAAACAGAACAATCCAGCGTGGGCCAATATCAAGGTGGTGATAATTGATAAGGATTTCACTGAACTTGGCGTACTAGCAGAAGAACTACCTGAGGCTACAGTGATTCTTTGTCATTTCCACGTCATTGACTATCTCAAACGCGAAATCAGCAAAAAATTCTACGCGTTTACGGCATTTGAGAAGATACATGCCAAGAACTTGATTACGATGATGGTGCGGACTGGTGATGAACGAGAATTCGATCGCTATATGCGAGCCCTTCAAGCTCTTTGTAAGAGTAAGCAACAATTTTTGGAGTATCTAAAAGCCAATTGGTTAAGCTGTAAGCCATTGTGGTGTACGTTCCTGCGCGGATGCATCCCTCACTTGGACAACAGCACAAACAACCGATTGGAAGCAAGTTGGGGGGCTGCGAAAGGTATTCTTCATCGCCACATGCCCATGGATGAGTGCATCAGGGTGTCACTGATAAAGGAAAGCGAGGATTTACGAGTTGGTACCGCTATTTAAAGGCCTTAGATAACATGGTTCGTGATGACAAAGTTCCGCTAATGTTGGATGCAGAAAGGAACGGTTCAGGCACGCTCAGCTCAGGTGATATAGGAGAAGCCGATGACGATAGTGCCAATATTGGTGGTATTACCACCAATATTGGTGATTTTACCACACATTTGGACGCACTGGGTGAGAACAGTACCAATCCACCATGCATCTCGACTTCTGGACAGGAGTTTAAGGTGGGCCTCGAAAAACCTCTTCAAGTTCCGCTGGACGAAGAAGAACAAAACATCCGAGAGACAAAAACGGGCGTCGAAGAAGCTGTCTTCACTTTCAGCGAAGCGAAAACTTGAATTGGACGAGACAGCTGAAGAAAAGTTTCCCCACAAAATATTGGATGATGATGTCAAAAGCATAGTAAAGCTTAATACAGCTAGTCGTCCATCTGGAAGACCAAAGCAAAAGGAAAGCTTTAAGAAGACAAAGAGGAGCAAGGAGATTACGGATACTTTAGCGTATGTGGACACGGTCGCCACTGTGGGTGATGTTACGTTGGAAGTTTTGGACGAGGTTGTGAAGACACAACAGCTTTCAATAGCGGTTGTTGGAGATGCTCTCGACGGTATCCGCCGCATGTTCGATGGTGCGGTTTTCAAACGTCCCAAAGCATTAGTGATCAAGGGTAATCACTCCCGTTCTGTAGAGAGCAATATCCGATTCGTGCTTCCAGGTATGTAAATGTGTTATTTTCAATATTTTGGTGATATTGGTGTCATCTTCACCAATACTTACCAACATGCAAACTCATTAACCAATATCTTGATAGAAACTTTGGTGATGAAAAGCATAGACTCGGCTACAAACGTGAAGATCCGCGAAGAGCTAATCAATGACACAAAACTGGCATCAAGTGATATAGTGATTTCAATTCTTGGCGTTGGGACGTTTAGTCTGGTGGATATAGAGCGAATGCGAACGTGGCACGAATTATCAAAGAAGCTGACCAAGGCCCGGAAGCTGGTTAAGTTTGTGGAGAAAGTTGTTATTGATGACGACCACAAAGAAGTGGAGCGTCAACGCATCCTGCACATGATACCTTTCATGAACGTCGACAGTGTTTTTAGTGCAAATGGCCACAATATTTCGTTCTTGGATTTAGCAGGATATGGAGGTGACCAATGGCTGAGTGATTCGTGTGTATTTCTGGCTTCGCTACGCGTTGTCAAAGAGGCAGAGCCACAAACCTGGCAAAATCCGAAATATGTTACGGTTGTTGACCCACTATATTTGCAGCTGTCAGATGTGGAGCGAAGGAATCAATACATCGACACAAAGGGTCATATTTTCACGGAGATGCACTCAAATCGCATCGTTTGCTGTCCAACGTACGTTGACATTGAATTTCCTCACTGGTGCGGCATCATTTTTGACATGGAGCGCAAAATTGAGTGGAAGTATGATCCGTTCCACAAAAAATCGATTTTGGATGCAGTGCAAGAGGTTATAAGTGGCGTTTTCATGAAATTTATGAGCTCTCACATGGAGGTGCAAGCTAAAACATTTACTGGATGGCGCCAATGTGATGGACACAGCTGTGGTGTATTGGTCGTGCAATGGTTCGAGCAGTATTTGTCACTGGTGCAAAGCACACCTCCCGATGCAAGCATTCCACTTGCCCACGATGATAAACTGGATCCGAAGCAACTAGCATATGAGAGGTACAAGCATTTCTCGTACGTATTGGATAGCGTAGTGACCAACGTCGATACTTAGCATAAATAAACCATCTTTAGTCTATGAGTGAGAAGGATCTTCAAATTCATCTTGGGCTTAACACTTAGTGGGTTTGAGGAGTGTGCTGCAAGTCATTTGTGTAGCTACATAATAGTAGAGAAACTTCTCTAAATACCACACAAGAACCGGTAGCGTTTTAAGGCACTCTCGTCTGCTCTATGCACAAAATATTGGTGAGCGTAGGGAGAGCCTTAAATGTAACAACAAAAATGGAAACCGTTTGTAATTGGCTGAAACTAATATTATCTCAAAAAGTTACGTCTTCCACTTCAACTTGAAGCCAATCTACTTCTTGCCCTTCTTGGGCTTGCCGGACGGACGCTTGCCCCCTTTCTTGCCGCCTGCGTTGGGGCCGTGCAGACCTGGCGCTGAGATCTTGACAGGGCCGACCATACAGTTCACCAGCTCGTTGTCCAGGATGCAGCGCATGAGCTCGCGCTGCACCACGACCGGGTTCACGTCTGGCTGAGCCTCCTCGTCCGCGTCGCCGTTCCCGTGAGAGCCGCTCACCTTGCTAGAATCCTTCTCGTCCTTGAGGTTGGAGGCGAAAAAGTGCTCCATCGCCTGCTTCGCCGCCTTGCCCTTCTTCTGGCTACCCGGCGTCAGCTTCACCTTGTACTTGAACTTGGTCAGCGATGCGTACGGAGCGCACATGGGCATTGCGAACAGCACAATATCATTGGGAAGCGGCTCGCCTGTGAAGGCATCGAAGAAATCGACGCCTTCAGCCTCGTCCTCTTGTTCATCGAGGTATTTCTCCTTCTTCTCACGTTGCTGGCGAATGTATTCCTCACTCACTTCTGTCTGAGCGTTACCACCGGCGACGTATTCTCCGTCCTCGTCTCCTGATTGCTCGGCCGGGTCGTTCTCTTTCGTCGGCTCTTCGTCCTCCTGTTCTTCTTCAACGACGTGGCCCAGAGCTTCCATGCGTAGTCGACGGTCCTCGTCGTCCTGATCAGCGTATTTCTTCTTCATCTTCTTCATCTTGCCCTTCTTACCACGAACACTCTTCTTCTGTGCCGTCAGGACAGAAGCCTTATCTTTTCCCTTGCGCTGTTGCTGAGCTGGAGGCTGCTCACCTATCAACTCGGGCGTCTTGCCCTTCTTCAGGTCACGACGCTCCTTCACTGACAGGCGCTTCTTACCTCCACGCTCCGTAGAAGCATCAGCAGCGTCTTCCTCTTCAGCGTCGTTTTCGTCGTCTTGCGCTACACTCGCAGCTTTAGAGTGCTTCGACGTGCTCTCATCTGCTACAGTCTCAACCGTCTCAACTGTCTGCACCTCCGGCTGCATTTCTTCAACACGGGCCACACTTTCCTCGCCAGCATCATCCTCAGGACCTTCAGCTACACGGAGATCTCTTCCTTCGCCTTGTCGAGCGTGGTTGCCGATACAGCTATCGTCTATTCGAAAAAGAATCGCCAACCCCATCTCGAGTCTTGAAGGCTGGATGTAGTTCTTCTTGCCACGAATCATAAAGCTACCCGTCGTAAGGTACTCGCCAGCGGGGGCTGTCTTCGAGACCTGGTCTGCATGCACCCAGTAGGCACCAGCAATCACCTGGCTAGTCCAAGCATTGCTTCGACACACACTCATGCATCCTGCCTGCTCAAGCGTAGCCACAGGAATCGACGGGAGCTCCTGAGTCTTTTTGTCCTTCACCGTCGCATGGTTGCGCACAATACACGTCGCAGCACCATGGAGATCGGCGTGGACATAAACGTCACCCTTGCGCAGATATCTCTTCACTAGCAGCTCGTTCTGATGAGCGTCTTTGCCTGCGACGACCAGGTATTTCTCGTTGGTGAGGAACCAGTGGAACTTCTCGAACCAGAGTGTTTTGCGTCGCTGGTAGATGACATTGCGCTTGGTCTGCTGCTTCTCGAGGGTCTTTTTAGTATTCTTTTCAGCCAGTGCGATGGCCTTGTCGGTCGCTTCGGTGGCTTTCTTCACCTTCGCACCGGCTTTCTTTTTCTTGGTGTAGATTTCTCGAGCATTGGCCAGAGCCGAAAGCGACAAGTCGATCCAGATGACATGAGCCTTCTTGTCTTCCTCACCTGTGCCATCACCGCCGTCCTCGTAGTCGTCCTCATCGCTATCGCAGAGTAAAATAGCTACACGATTGTGTTCCAGGTCAAGTTGGTGAATGAGGCTGGCCACGGGGTTGCCGTTCTTCTGTTCGTAGCGTACAAGTTCCTCCAGACCACGCCAATCCATACCGCTAGCCAGTGCGCTTCGAATAACGAGCAGGACATTCTCCACATCTTGTTGGTTGGCTTCAATGAGCTGCGCATCCTGGAAGCTCTGCTCCTGAACCTCACGCAGCTGAGCGAGTTGCTGCTGCTGATTCTTCTTGAGCTTCGCGAGTTTGTTCTCCGCTGCAAGCTGAGCGCTCTGCTTCGCCACCTCGGCAGTCTCCGCCTCAAAGCGCGAGAAATACTCATCCACTGCCTCATCAAACGTATCAAAGCTCTTCACCTTCTTGTATGCTTGCAGGTGCTGCGCATACAGATAGGGCGTGAACTCCTCGAACTGCTCTGGGGCATTTTCACCCGCTACGTCCTTTAAGATGATGAATCCGCACTTCTGCGAAGTCGTAGACGGGTCTTTAGCAACAGGTGCAGCATCTTCCTCGTCGCTGTCTCCTGTGTCAGCAGTATCATCACTTTGAAGAGGTACAGGGCCATTGACCGATGTCTGTTCGTCCTGCAGTCTCTCCAACAGCTTCCAGCCTTCCTGGATTTCAGCCAATAAGGCAGCTAATTTGTCCTCTCCGAGAGTTGTAAACTCCGCAGCGTTCTTGATCTTCAGCGTAGGCGAGATAGCCGCGCGCACCAGACAGTGCTCGATAATAACGGGACCTAATCCACCGAACGTTGACTCCTTGACCAACAGTAGCTGCTTGATGGTCTGCGCCTTTTTCTTCTTCTGCGTCTTGCCCGGCAGCGCGATCGCCGCCTTGGCCTCTTGTTGCTCAAACCACCTGTTAACGAACTCGGTGAGCTGTTCCGTGGTCTGGATACCGCGCTGCTTCTCCTGATCACCTAGAAGCTGCACGGGATACTCCTGCTTGACCGCCATCTTGACGTTCTCGTCGAAGCGATGTGTGCGCAGCAGCGACAAGATGCGGTAGTCTCCGTCTGTGAGGATGATGTTGCCAGACGCGTACAGCTCCAGAATGAGGTGGCATTTGAGTGCATCCTGGCCAAACGTAAAGTCCACGACGCGATCCCCTTCCAGCTGCGTGAGTGCCGACAGCCTCTTGCCACGCAGATGCTTCCGCAACTTCATCGTAAATTGGCTGGGCAGAGCATTACCAGCCTTGGCATCACGTGCGTATTTGCTGGTGTGAAAGCGCACGCCAGACTCGAGTAGTAGAAATACCTTGGGGAACGGCGGTTGGTGAAGCTTGAGGATATATGTCTTGGCTGCACCGCTATCTCCCTGTCCCTGCACGTCGTAAATATTGGTCACACGCATATTCACCACGTTGGCGCGGATGCTGCCAACCATCGCGTGGATGTCATCGATGGACATGCGCGTCTTCTTCATGGTGGCGCGATCGTAGGTTGATCACTTATGTATCCCTCGCAGCTCAACACAAATCGCGTGGCCCACATGGTTTAATGTTGGATACATCAGTCGCCTGATGCTTTTTTGTGCTTTTCATGTAATTTGCCGTCCGATTTTACTCAAATTCGGACTTGAGGTACTCCGGTTTTTGATTTGTAAAATCACTCTGTTCGCCATTTAAATCTTTGCTGATTAGTGTAAATCGTCAGTTCCGAGTCTAGACCCCACGCGAAGGCCGCTCAAGCTACAAAAGAAGGTGCGCGTGGTCAAGGTCGCGCATGCGGTGAGCCAGAAGCCGCTCAAGCTGGAGAAGGAGTTGGGAACGGCGCCGGCCGCGTTTGTGATAAACAAGAAGCTGTTCGAGCTGTAGAAGGTCGCGCCTGTGGGGAATCTGAAGCTTGTCGAGTGCAGAAGGAGGTGTGCGTGACCACGAACGTGCTATGGGAAGCTTCTCATCCTGTGGAAGGCGGCGATTGCAGGCCAAAGTCGTGTCTGCTGTAAACCTAGAGCTGCTCAAGCTGAAGAAGGAGAGCTGGTGACCAAGGAGCCGCTCCAGTAGCTGCGGAAAGGCCGCGCTGGTGGCCACAGAGTTGCCAAAAGAGGTGGGCGCGGACATGACCACGCCGGAGATGAATAAGGAGCGGCTCAACGTGCAACAAAGAATTGGAGATTGCGTGAAGAGTAGAGCTAGTGGCCAAGGCGCCGCTGAAGCACCTGAACGTGGTGCTGTGGTCATGGCCACACAGGTGATCTAGGAGCCGTTTAAGCAGCTAAAGGACGGATGGTCAGGTGGTATTACTGGTGGACCTGCTACACAAAACTATATGGCCGTTGCGCAGGCTAGACTTCCCGAGGGCAGTGATATTAAAATTCCCCAGAATACGACGTTCCGACAGCTTCTACATATTGATGAGCAAGAACGATCAATGAATGAAGAGATCGCATCGACACAGCTACAGCACGATGCAGCTTATCGCATCATTCGCGTTCAAATCCACGGCGTTCCAGTTCCACTAAAAGTCAACATAGCGGACCTCCGCGATGCCCTTGGTCTACCGCCATATAGTTTGTGCCCTCCTTTTTGAGGACCAATAGAGGTTGACACGCCTGACCCAGCGCAAAATATTGTCGATATAGACCACATGGAGCCGAATGAAATGGAAAGATCACATTAAATACATCTAGTTGACCTGTATTTCAAGTTTTTGTGAATGATAACCACAATCCATGAAACGGAAGCTATACTGATGTTCCTTCCTCCATATTCCCCAGACTTAAACCCAATTGAAGTCACCTTCTCACTTCTTAAGAGGTGGATCCAACGAAATGCAAATATGGCATTCCAAGCTGACCCAGTTGCGGTGATGAAAGTTGCGCTCTACAACTGCACACGACAAAAAGATTCTGTAGGTTTAAATCTTTACACCTGGAGTTCCTCGTACATGTGGATTTTTGCATTATCCATGATGACGATTGACCTCGGTAGTGGCCATCGATTCAGGTAAGGCGCAATTTTGGTCTTGAAAATCTCATGAAATATCGCTCTCGTAAAAGTACCTTCAGTAATCCCCCAACCAAAGAATCCGTTGACATCGACCGCTGCTAGCAACGAAACTCGATTCCCTCGGCTAAACGGTAGTACAGCATGAGCAGGAGTATTCCTGGCGGACCACCCATACTTCCTCAATACAGATCTGTTTGACAAAACAATAGGTTAATAACCGCTTGTAGCATAAGTAAAACAAAATAAACTGATAAAACGAAGTTACTTACCGGCCGTCTTTTGACGTTTCATCTACGAAGACAAGTTGATCAGGTCCACTATAAAACGGTAGCAGACGGTTGATATATTCTTGTCGGTCTCTAGGGACACTCTACTTCGCACGTTTTGTCAAGACCTTGCGCGTTAATCCCAGATCGAACCGTAACGCACGGCAAATTGTTGAATCTGTCAGGCTTATCGAAGCTCCGAATTGAAGTTGTAGCTCCTTTCGAAGCTCTTCAAAGTAGAAACAGGGGTGGGCGTTGACATACTCTCGCACAAATGAGCACACATGATCCGGCCACCTTGACGATCGATTTCTTGTTTTCTCGGCTAATACGTTCTCAGTCCGTTTAAAGTCGTGATACCAACGACTTAAGCTGCGCTCTGAAACACCTAGAACAGAGGCAACTGTAGCAGCGTCAATGTTATAGACGTACAGTAGAACTACGCCACGCCACTTCATATCAACGGAATACATGGCTTTTCGTCGCTAGTCAAAATCTACACTGACTATCGCGTCGGTTTTGACGCAAACTGCTGGATGGCAGATGATTCACCGCCATAGTGGAGTTATATTGCTTAAGAGTGAGACTTAAAAACCGAATCTACTCCAAATTTTCAAAACGAACCCTTCTTTTGTGTCTGAGCTTTTGATTGGTTATATTTACGGAGGCGTGAATCACGCCGTGATATCTATCTGGTTGTCACCTGCTAATTCTTAGTTTGTTATACCTAGCCCTTGCAATTACAGATAGTTGTTTTTATCCGTTTAGCCAAAATATATGCAAAGCACAATATATGGATACGGTATAATACACTCGTGGACACAATTATACGGCCACCTCGTCGAGTGCCCATAACTCAGTCAATTTTTATTATTTGACGGTGCGGTTTTCACACAAGTTGCGAAACATGCTTCAAAATACCACGGATGTGCTAGTTTTGCACTTTATAGGGAGGCTCACATTCAAAAAAGAGATTTGTCAGGCTGGACACAATTTACGGCCATCATCGGCCCAATACAAAAACCGATATAAAATAAAACATGTGTCATTTTGGCTGACTAGAAATTTGTATGGGCTGAGTTTCTGAGGGCGATTAAATGGACACTAGGGATCGAGAGCTCACATGAGTTGCATGGGGGTGTACACATTAGTATTATATGTAACGTGTTGCATTCGCACCTCTGCTTGATCGATATTGATGGAGAATTTTTAAATGTAAGATCGCGACGACTACACGGTGTTCTCCATATGATCTGCTACAGTAAAAAAAATGCGGATGGGCCTTTTGACACTAGATAAAAGTTCTCCATCAATATCGATCAAGCAGAGGTGTGAGTGCAACATGTTACATATAACAGTATTGTGTACACCACCATGCAACTCATGTGAGCTCTCGATCCCTAGTGTTTATTTTAATCGGTCTCGCCCGCCCAAAGACCTCGCGCCGAAAAATTTCAAAGCCCCCAAAAGCACCAGTTTTTATTTTATATCCCTTTGTGTTGTTGGCAAAAGATGCCCCAAAATTGAATTTCACCCACTTGGAGACCTCCCTCTCTGAGAGACTAAATGTTTTCTGGGAGACCAACAATCGTAGACCTCGAGGGCATGGAGCTATATGTGGGAGTCAGTGGGAGCGGGTTTGAGCTCGTCTGATCGAAAGTTCTAGGAGAAATGCTTGATAGTCGAGGAAGGACATCAAGGAATAAGAGCCATACGTAGACCGCCCCCAGACTCTCATTGCCAAATTGAGCGCCTCCCCCGCGG